CAGATTTCCAGATTTCACACCTCCGGACATCTTTTTATGGGGATATTTATTTACGTCAGCAAGCCTCAAACCATTGACGAGATCATGGCTAATATTCGTGCAGAAATCATCGCTATACCACCTGAGATGCTAGAAAAAGTAATGGAAATGCAGCAAAAAGGGCACATTTTGTGTGTCCAATAAAATCAGCCACTTAATTGATATTGTTTTCAAAAATTAGTCTGTAGAAATTCTAAAGAACCAAATTAAATAAAAATATCTCATACCTGAAAATCGGTTGTTTATTTTCAAAGATATTCAATGTTTACATACCGACATAAAAAATGGCGCACCCTGTACATAAATTGATCGACTTTCAGGAAATATTACACAAAAACCATAAAATCAATGGTCAAAGCTTCTTCTTTAATTGCTAGATACATTTATAAACTGTTAACGAAACTAAGAAAACGACTGTTTGGTTTGGGCTTGTACATGTAAATCGCTACCTGCCAGTTGTTCATTTTGTTCACATTTTTCTACCTAAAGCAGTCTATAAAAGCTGAAGCCGATGAAAGCCACTACACTATGCCTATATGTTGCGTAGATCTTTATCGCCTGCGTGGAGCTGGCAAGCAACAAAACGTTGCAGGCTCAACTTTAGGACACGATAGTAATGGGGTCCAAGCTGGATGTCAAAGTGGGCTGATAGGCTGCTTCGGGACTAGAAAGAGGGTAAATTCTAGTGACGTAGGCATTGGCAAACTCAGAGACAAATATAAGGTCTAACATATTTTTACTTCAGTTCCAAACGAAATTTAATTGTCCCAATGAGAGATCAATGAGACCATGAATTAAATCGTGGGGTGAGGTGCAAACAAGAAGATTAGAATCCGGTAAGGGCATCCAAGAAATGGAGGGCAGATTGAAATCACCCATGACAATAAGGTGGTCACTAACTCCGAGGGAAGAATGTCTATAGACGTTACACTGGACCTGGGTGGAATATACGAGCATGAAACATAGATATAATAATCACGTTTATAGACAGTACAGTTCCCTGAAAAAATTTCACAGTCAGACACAGAGGAGTTGAGCCATGTTTCTGTAAAAACAATTTTGCATCGAAGGAGACACTATTGTCGTGCAGTCTACTGAGTTTTCCAAGTAAACTACTATCATTCTTATAGTGTAGAACAAAAGAATACATTAGTTTTTTGGAGGCCTAGTTATAAGCCCGCGAGCATATGGAAGAATCAAATTTCGGTACCAGAAACATTCAATTTGTTGCTAAAATGGCCCTCAACATCGTTTTCGTAAGCACCTGGATTAAGGCGGGAAACAAACAACAGCTTTATAGAAGTAAATCCAGCTAAAGGCACTGGTCTACGTTGGGAAACTCCAGCAGATGTAGACTTTTGGGGGGCGTTTCTAGTAAAAGCCGGCGCTGAAATAGGGACCGCCCGAGGAACACCAACGACGCCTTGTCGACATTGACAAGCCGCTAAACCGAGGGCATAGCGAATTCGCCCAGTCCAGAAATGGGGACCGGTACAGCATCTTCAGCAGAAACAGCAGCGTGCGACGTGGATGCCTGGTCAAAGTTGACAGGCTTCTGATCCAACGGCATGACGAGATCAGCCAGTCCAGAAATTGGGATCGATGCAGCATCTTCACCGGAGCCATTATCGACGGCTACGGGATCGACAATTTCAGAAAGGTTGCACCTTTTTTTTATTTGAGGAGTCACTTAGCAGTTTAAGTGGTTTCAAATAGTATTCCGTCTTCTGGAAACGATTTGATAAATCCTTGAAGCCGGCAGCCAACGACTGAAACTCCAAGTGAGTTTGCCTCATGAAGAATTGCCTCATTCGGAGAATTGTCTAGGATGAGGGGTCGACGAACGACGGACGAGGGCCGAGGAGCGGCTGACGACGGGTGCCGAGGATTGGCGGACGAGGGCAGAAGAGCGGCTGAAGAGCGCTATGGATTGGGAGAGGTGCTACGCGAATAGCGTACCGCCTGGCGCGTTCGTAGATATGCAGGAGCGTGTGGGGAACCTGGCTATGCGTTTTACAACGATCACAGCACCGACTCGCTTCGTCGGAGAGCTCGTGGGCCAAACAGCTGGGGCAAAAACGGTTGGCAAGGACGGCCCGGACCCTTCGACGACATTTTCGTAGCGGATGGTTCCCGCTGCAGACTCGGAAACGGTTGGATTGCATACTTCGAGTGCGTCTGAGTATGACGGAGAGAAAAGTTGGCATCAGTGCTTCCGAACTGCGAGTGGCAAGGAATTTGTCCGAAGAACCATTGCAATGAACAGTATGCTACATACATTGATGAATATTTTCCAAAGTTCAGATTAAAAATATGCTCTGTATTTTAATAATTATAAATGAACAAACTTTAGCCACGTGGAAGAGAAAAAGTTAGTAGCACATAACCTAGCACGATGTGCTGACTTTAAAAGGCTACCACAAAGCCAGGGATGGCAAAAAAATTATTTTTATAATGGTGCAACATTTTTTAAACGGAATAAAAAAAAAAAGAAATGGGGAAATTTTGGACTTTATGCCAAGTGTCGACATCATGGAGATTCGGGTAGGGAACACAGATCGCCGCTCGGCCTGTGGGTACCCATCCGAAAATCGTCTCCTGTGCAAAAATGTTGCTCTTTGAGCCACGCAGGAGCACCAACGGAAGAATGTCCGCTCATAGCAAGACGTCGATTTCGGAGCTCTCGAAAAACTTCGGGTCCGCTAGGGGGATGTCAGGAAGTTCCCTAAGCAGATCTCATGGAATCGGATATGAGGACAATTTCCCGGCCTGCTGCTGAAGCACATAAGCTGAAGTTTCTTGCCACAGCCCGGGTCTGGAAGGCGCTTGTTTCGAAATATTGCATAGCTTGGTGGATTGGGCGTGGTGGGATTGAGACCAGAAAGTTGGATCTGAACAGGCTTGGATGGTAAGTTGATTTGATTAAAGAGCCGCTCAGTAATAAAATTTTAAATGATTGTAGCTACCCGATAAGTGAGAGCGTGTTTAAGGGCCATGGTAAGCGGAGGGGGGTTCTAGGGGGCTGCAAATTCTCGAGCGTTAAGTTATTTGAAGTGAAAATTTCTCAAGATCCGCATTTTAATGAAATCTGCAAAGTGGAGAGGTGAATGGTCCCAAAAAGATTGGGAATTACTTATGGGAAAACTTTAACAGAACCAAGCTTAAATTAAATTATTTTACTTATACCCTTGCAAGGTTTTATAATTTTAGGCAGAAGTTTGCAACGCAGTGAAGGAGACATTTCCGACTCTATAAAGTGTATATATTCGTGATCAGCATCAACAGCCGAGTCGATCTAACCATGTCCGTCTGTCCGTCCGTCTACGTTCTACGCAAACTAGTCCCTCAGTTTTAAAGCTATCTAAATGAAACTTTGCATATAGTCTTCTATAAACATTCACTGCTATATATGTCGGAACTATATCATATAGCTGCCATACAAATCTACATCTACTCTGAGATATGAGCTTATTTTATTATTTCAGAATTTTGGTATAAATTTTATGAAAATCGGACAACTATATCATATAGCTGCCATAGAAACGATCGGTAGATGTCGAGAAAATGTTCAGCTGGGAATGTAAAACTGTAACTATCAAACTGTAAAAATAAAAAACATAGGTAAAATGCAGGGACTGTAACGGTTATAATTAAAAAAGCAAAAAATTACCAAATAAAAGTTATTTCACAATTTTTTTTTAGAAGCCAGATCCAATATATATATATATATATATACATATTTATTATATACCATCTGAAAGGTATTGATGTGTAGATCATATATATACATATATATTGGATCTGGCTTCTACGGATCAAAAGATATATAGATTCAATCTTTATTTTCAATTTTTAAAATAAAAGTTATCGAATAATTCTTATTTTTCAATTTATATAATAAACAAGAAAGGAAGCTAACTTCGGCACGCCGAAGTTTGTATACCCTTGCAGATTGGTTTCGATGTTTATATTATAGATTTAAATTCTGAAAACACTCACCAAACAGAGTTTCATTACATTTTACCTATACTTATTATGTTTACAGTTTGAAAGTTACAGTTTTACATTCCCAGTTTTACATTTTCTCTACATCTACCGATCGGTTTATATGGCAGCTATATGATATAGTTGTCCGATTTTTATAAAATTTATATCATAATTCTAGAATAATAAAAAAAGCTTATATCTCAGAGTAGATAAACATACGTTGAAAAACAACGAAACTATAATTTTTTATCTATTTATTTCTCGACCGTTCCTATGGCAGCTATATCATATAGTCGACCGATTTTCATAAAATTTTTACCAAAATTCTGAAATAATAAAAAATGGCCATATCTAAAAAATGGTGCAAAAATGTTGAAAAACAACAAAGTTATAATTTTTTTCTACAAATATATCGAACATTTGTATGGCAGCTATATGATATAGTCGTCCGATCCGGCCCGTTCCGACATATATAGCAGTGAGAGCATATAGAAGACTATATGCAAAGTTTCATTCAGATAGCGTTAAAACTGAGGGACTAGTTTGCGTAGAAACAGACAGACGGACAGACGGACAGATGGACAGACGGACAGACGGACATGGCTAGATCGACTCGGCTGTTGATGCTGATCAAGAATATATATACTTTATAGGGTCGGAAACGTCTCCTTCACTGCGTTGCAAACTTCTGACTGAAATTATAATACCCTGCAAGGGTATAAAATTGAAAATAAAAGTTATTGCGTAATTTTTATACAAAAATTGAAAAAAAAAACATTTATCTTGTTTTTGAATTCGCCATGAAAATTTAACTTATGACAATTTTTTCCAATTTTTTTGGAGACTGTTTTGGGCGTCAATTTTTTTAAACTCATAATAATTATTTACGGTCCCTGGTAAAATGTAATAAAATTATATCTGCAAGGCATGCCGGTGTTAGCTTCCTTTTTTTTTCACACTAAATAAATCAGAGAATCAAAGGAGACCGGCTGATTCTACTCCCCCTCCTGCCACTTCAGTATCAGAAATATTTACATCAAGATGAACAGGAAGCTCCACTTGATTCCTCTTTTTTCCATCAATAGCGACCGCTGGCGCAAGCCCATCTACAACGTTGTGGGCGTCACCTCGGGCCTAGCGGTGCTGGGAATTCGCTTCGACAAAGGTGTCATGATGGCCACGGACACCCTTGTGTCCTATGGCTCCGAGAAGGCCTTCCAGGAATCTCAGCGTATGTTTAAGATGAATGAGAACATTGTGTTCGGCGGCAGCGGCGACTATGCCGACTTCATAATCGCCAAGACCCACATCGAGACCATGATCATCCAGGACTTTTGCTTCGGGCAGCCCAATCTACTCAAGCCCAGCATGCTGACCCACTGGCTGAGTACCGAGCTCTACAACCGGCGGGTGGCTGGGCAGCCGCTCAGCTTCGACTCGGTAGTGGGCGGAATCCAGCACGACGGAACGCCGTACCTGGCCACCATAACCCGTTACGGAGGCTTCTATGCGGATTTCGTGGCGGCCACTGGGCCGGCCCGCATGGGTATACCAATGATTTGCTATCGCAAGCCGAACGACAGAGAGTTCACCGCCATGGAGGCTGCCAAGTTGATCGAGGACGTCATGGCGGTGGTGTTCTACCGGCACACTAGTGCCCTGGAAAGCTACCTGGTGGGGATATGCAAGCGCGGCAAGTGCAGCGTGGAGGGACCATTCAAGATCAGAAATCACTGGGAATTTGCAGCCACCATTTCCGGCTACTAACTTTTACTACTATTTCTATCCTTGATTTGCCAATTGTGGTGGCTTACACACAAAACACAAGTCATATTTTATACAAATCCTTATTTCTAAACAAAAATCAATTCAAAACTTGATACTGGTTTACTCGATCTTTTTTTTGTTTATAATAAAAACGTTGAGTGATTGATGGCAACGATACATTTTTTCTTTGTTTTTTTTTAGGCTTTGCGTTTATTTATTAAATTTTCTCATTTATGAGAGTAACAATAAGTGTATCAAATCTTACAATACTACCTAACTAGCAGTCATGTAGACTGGTACAGAGTAAATGGCCCTGACTAATTATGGCTGGGTTGGAAGGTCGTTACGTAGTAGACGGCTCCTGCTGGGAACCGGAATCAAGTCCCTTGCTAGAGGATTTGGATAGGCAGAGAGTTTTTCCTTGTAGGACGCTTTTTTTTATATTTCGTTCTTAACTGCAAGAATGCCGAGATCCCTGTGAAATATATCATGGTGACTTAGTGATAGTTCTCAGGATTTTTGATTGGGCGCGCTGTATGATGTCTAGATTGGTGCTGCACGCGTTCCCCAAAGCCATACGTCCATATTGGCTTTAGTGTAGAGTTGTCGAACAGGACATTGTAGTCCAGACACAGGGGCGATCGGGAGTTTATGAGCAAGTGGAAGCTGCTGGCTTTTAGTTTTAGATTAAGTTTTTTTGCATTCGATATGTCTTCGCCATGTTAGGCGTCTGTCTAGGAGCACGCCCAGGTACGTTACCACGTTGACTTCGGGGATCTCCGTGCTGTTCAAGTAGAGTGGAGGGCATGTTTATCTGTTGAGAGTGAACGTTCTGTGCTTACACTTTGGTTCATTTATTTTGATACGCCAGTCAGATAGCCACTTCTCGACTACCTTGAAGTGTTTGGCGAGCTGGGTTGTTGCACGGACTGGGCATCTGGAACGGCTGAGGATCGCAGTGTCGTCAGCGAAAGTGGATAATGTTAATGACTCAAGTAATGTGCATGTATACCGGCAAAAGTGTTTTAATTTTGTGCATGAAGCCGTTGAGCCAGACGCGGTCGAATGCTAGAAAAACATCGAGAAATATCGCTCTGCAATATTCTCGATGCTCGAAGGCTGTGCGAATTTCTGATGTTATTCTGTTAACTTGCTCGATAGTTCCATGCTTTTCCCTGAAGCCAAATTGATAAGCTGGTATGGTGATTTGATCTCCCAGATAAGCAATTATGCGCTTTAGTAGGCATTTTTCAAATAACTTGGACAAGCATGATAGTAGACATATTGGCCGGTAAGATGATGGAATCGTGTGGTCTTTTCCGGGTTTCGGTATCATTATAATTATAGATTTTTTCCATTTTGTTGTTTTTGATTTTACAGATGACCTCAATAGCACAATTCGGAAGTTCAATTATCATTTTTTTGAGTTATTAAGTCATCGCCGGGAGCCTTTTTCGGCTTCATTTCCCTGATGACCTTCGTGATCTCGTTCGGAGCAGCAGGGTTCGGCGGGAAAACGCCCTGGAGATGTGAGGCAAAAGTTTCGGCTCTGTCTTTGTCGCTGCGGGCCTAGCAACCAGATGACTTTCTTATCAGGGTGACCGTTTCAGTCGGTGAGCTTAAATTTGGGTGCGCTCTCCATAAGGTGCTTTGTGCTGGTTGCCGAGAGTTTCTCAATATATCTTTATTGTGCATTTTCAGCGTCTTGCTTCAGGGCCTTAGTTTGCATGTGGCTTAAGCTGTTCAATCTGCTGGTTCGTTTTGAATTTGATTTTTTTGCACATCCGTCTATTGTGGTGTTGAGATCCTGGCTGCAGTCATAAGTACCTCTTCCAGACCGGAGGTGTAGGAGTCGATATCGGCTTCAGTATTGAGCTGGGGCGCTAGCTCTATGTGGGAACTCACATACTTTTTGTATTTCATCCAATTTGTTCTGTACGACGTCAGGAGGAGCCTGTAGGAGCCTGTAGGAGCGATCCGTAGTTTCTGGGCATTAAAGGAGGGTTATCTACAGCGGCGAGTGATCTGAATAAAGATCTGGAAGGGCATTGGCTTTTATTAAATTGCGTGGTATTTTTTTTTTGTCACCGCGAAATCAATTAGATTTGGTATCTCTCTGGGATCTGCTGGTTAATATGTGGGGCTACCAAGGGAAACGTAGTCCAGTTTATTTCTCACATTGATGAGAGCGTTATACAGTTGTCTTCCCTTGGGGGTCACGAGGCGGGATCCCCCAATGCTTGGCGTTGTAATCTCCTGCAGCAATCAAATGATCTCTAAGTGAGTTGTAAAAATCCATGAATTGGCCTTCAGAGATTTTAAAGCGAGGTGGGCACCTGACTGCACTTTTATGGAAGTAGCTTGAAAGTATTGGGTGTACAAGTAGAAAACCGCCGTTTTTTCTCATAATTTTATTTCCAAGCTTTTTAGGCGAAGGGTAATTGATTGCTGAGTCACACCCAAAAAATCCGTGAGTTTTTGTTGTGTCTGACAAGAATCTTCATCCAGCACAGCCTCCAAATCCGCGTCTTCAAACTTTTACACAGGACCCAGTCGGTCCTTGACTTCCACGTCATACTCGCCATTTTTAAACTTCTCGACACGTTCTTTTACTTATACACGACTCATCATAAGTTTCTGCGATCATTCGACGCGCGAAAAGAAAAATCTCCCGCAAATGACGCTTATTCGGTTCGAATTTCGACATTTTCGTGCACCAACAAAATGATAGACAATAAGAATACACGAACGAGACAATATAGAGTTGTTGAACGATATTTTAGCTCGCCATTTGGAGTTCCCGATCAAAATTTCTCACCGTTTTGAGAAGATGGCACCACGTAGTCGAAACGGCGGTTTTCTACTTGTACACCCAATAATTTTTTGCAAATCTTTGGTGAAAATGGTGTTTGATGCGTTCTCTGATAAGGATTGACTCAAGTTTATGCCCTGAGACGCCGTTACCATTCCACGTGTATATCGTAGATTGGACATTGATAGTAGCTGTCCCTCGTCCTTGTAGAACACGCAGCCTCTGTAGTTAGCAGTATGGTTTCCTCCACAATTTCCAAATTTTTTTGTATTGGGATCATCTTTGTTCGCAAGGCAGTGTGCAAAATTGTGGAAGTCTCCACAGACTACGCAGACTGACTGAAGGGTGCAGTATGTTCTTGTGAGTCCATACTTCTGGCAATTTGTGCATTGTGCAGGACCGTTGCGTTTGTGTGGTTCTTCCACGGTGATCCTTTGATGCAATAAGAACTGCAACTTGTAGATCGGATGAACATAATTTTTTTTAGGGCTCCACTATCTGGCTCTAGTTCGACTTTAAAAAGTTGATAATTGTTGTGTATTACAATCAATGATTAAATGTGCGTCTGCTTGGCTTGAGCTTCAGATCTTATCTGTTCGTATATTGTCTTCGTCTTATTTTACATTTTAGTTTACAGTGGTTTGTTTTTTATGTATGTTAAATGAATAAGTGTGACCAAACATAATTAACTTATAATTGACAAATATCTAACAATAATGTTGCTAACATTCTTTGGCTTTGGCTGTTTTTGAGTCTCCTGCTCCGGCTCAGCTTGGTTGTTCTCATCGGCTGCTGACGGGGAAAATCTGTTAGAGTTGGTTGGGTCTTAGCTTTTGATGATACGGTTGATCTTAGGTTTGTTACCAACCGTGTTATGTGGGCTGAGCTTAATTTGGATGTAGCGATCCATGCCAGTCTGTATGGCTGGAACCGCTTGTTGCTTATCGGAGCTCACGGTTTTTGTTACCATTGAATTTGGCGCTGCGGCCGTTGGCACAGATTTTGCAATATTGGTCGTTGGTTTAGTTGTTGTTGTTGCTTTTGCTGTGTTTGCAGAAATTGCAGCACTGCTTGTTGTTGGTGCGGGGACGCGGGACGTCTAGGGTCCGCTCAAAAATTAATTTGGTTCAAGCGTAGTTGCTGTGAAAGATCCCGACCCAGCCCCAAAGTAGAACGCTAGAGGATTATGCCGTAAAAAGTATCTTAATGTTTGTTGACTTAAAAGGTACAATTCTCAATAATTTCATGCCGGGTCTCGATTCTGCGGTACGCCGTGGCTCCGATTCGTCCTCCTTGTCCTGATTTGGGGCCGTCCGGTAGAGAAGATACCGATAGTTCCGCCAGAAGATAGGTTATTCGCACTCGAGCGAATGCGTTCGGGCTCGAAGGTCATCCACGAGGGGATATGTCCGGACTCGAAAGACAACATACCCCCGTTGTTTTTGGACTCGGAAGTCAACAGAACAAAGCTATTGTCGGTCTCGAAAGTAGCTCAGGGAAGTTATTGTCGGTCTCGAAAGTCAGCTCAGAGAAGTTGTTGTAGGACTCGAAAGTCAGCAGAGGTTCGGACTCGAATGTCAGCAGAGAGATTCAGACTCGAACGTCAGCAGAGGTTCGGACTCGAAAGTCAACAGAGAGATTCTAACTACGATTTATTAAAAGGAACCTGGATTCCAAAAAAAAAACTTCGCTGCTAACTACTGGGGAGCTTAACTCGACCCAATCGCAGTCGGTTGCTAAGTGATTTCTTCAGTGCCGTGGCCCGCTTTATATATGTAGGCCCTGACGAGGCTTCGGTGTGCCCAGAGTCTTGTGCGGGATTTGCCCGAATAGTGTGGCCAGCCTCCGTTTGGTCCAGTGCGACGTACGACATACGTCGCTAATTGTTCCTATTATATTCTATTTCTTACAAGATATATTGTGCGCGTACACGCGTCACACTCCTCCATTTGGGAGACGGTGTAATACCGCACCGTAACATATTTTTCCGCGGCCAAATACGCTTCTCCAGTTCGGTTTTATGCCCATTGTTCTGACTGGGTACTGTTGCTTCTTCCGTTTCATGCTTTGTTCTTCCTCCCTTGATGCCACTATACCCGTCGATTTCCGTACGCTCCTGGCTATCACCGTTGCTTCTCTAGCCGTGCCGTCTCTGTTCCCAGATCCATTCTGGTGTCTTTTTCCCGAAGTTGGCTGCTTTCTTTCATGGGCCTTCCAAAAAATTCTTTACCGGCTCTTCTGCTTGCTCCGTGGTGCTTCCACCTTCCCTTTGCATCGATCGCTCTTTCATATATTGTTGGGCAACCCTGTCGGATTTCTCCTGTTCCTCGGTGCCCTCTTTACCAACGGCTGACCTAATGCACAC